GTGAAAATGGTTTAATTTTGTTGATATTTTTTTTTAGGACAATCTGGTCATGATGCCCATGACTTTCCATCATCCTGAGGTAGTGAAGTTCTCTAATCTACTTAATCTGATGAGGCAATCAAACCTATTCAGATCGTTCTTGTCAGCAACAAAGTGTTTCGTCGTTCAAGAGACCTTCGTAGACCTGGGTAGCAGGTTTAAAGTTGCGTTTGGTGATCTTTGTTCACTAAAATTTCATTTAACTTTAATGAATTTTTTGAATTTAAGGGGTTGAAAATTTTAGGGTGCTTAAGATTTATTAGCTGATTAAGCATTTGTGGTTTTTGTGTTTTGATTTAATTTTTAAAATGACCAAGTCAAGATCTCCTGGTTTCGTCCTCACAGGGTCATTGGGGTTAGCGATTTGATTAGTCACAAATGACTGGAGGGTACTTTTTTAGCAGTCATGGGTTACCTCCTCCAAAGTACCAGATATGTTGTATTTTTGTGTTCGTTTTAGTAATTTTTAGGATGCATTTTATGTTTTGTCAATCGTCATTAATTTTGTACCTAAGCCCAAATTGTCTATGACCGACATCAAGTGTGCTTTTGTAATTGTAAGAAATCAAACACTCCTTAACTTCAGTCCACTTAAGTCTAAATTGGCTTTAGATTAGCCCGAGTATGGTCGGATTGATCCGGGATGAGTCTCTAGTTAATCTGAGTTAGCCTGGATTGGAATGACTTTGCCTCGGATTATCTTCAAACTAGTTTAATTCAATCCGAGTTTAATGGGATAGACACAAGTTGGTTTAGTCGAGCTAAGCTTAACTGATTTAGACTAACTCGGGATGGGCCAAGTTGATCCAAATCAAGCTGAGTTAAATTGAGGCTAATCCAGATTAAGCAAAGTTGATCGTGGGTCTAATCAAATTTAACTTACGTTAGACTTAAGTGAAGTCTTAGTTAACTTAGATTTGAGTCATCCTTTAATTGAATTAAGTCTAAGTTAGGTTAGACTTGAGTCGATCTTTTATTAAGCTCAGTTGAAGGACTTAAGTTTGAAGTCGAGTCCCAGATTGAGTTGACCCAAGTTTAGCGGGATTGGCCCGAGGATTTAGGATAACCCGAGTTGGGTCACTTTAGCCTGAATTGATTAATGAATAATCCAAGTTAGGTCGGGTTGACCAAATGGTTTAAGTTAATTTGGGTTAACTCGTTAGGTCGGGTTAGCCCGGTGAATTGTGTTGATTTGGGGTTAATCTGAGTTAGGTGGGTTAGCCTGATGGTTTGGGTTGATTTGGGTTAAGCCGAGTTAGGTCGAGTTAGCCCAGTGGTTTAGGTTGATTTGGGTTAACCCAAGTTAGGTCAGTTAGCCCAGTGGTTTAGGTTGATTTGGGTTAACCAAAGTAAGGTCAAGTTAGCTTAGTGGTTCAGGTTGATTTGGGTTGACCTGAGTGAGGGCAGGCTAGCCCAGTGGTTTAGGTTGGTTCAGGTTAACCCGAGTTGGGTCAGTTTAGCTCGATGGTTTAAGTTGATTTGGGTTGACCCCAGTTAGGTCAGGTTAGCCTGGTGAATTGCTTTGATTTGGGGTTAACCCAAGTTAGGTCTGTTTAACCTGATGGTTTAAGTTGATTTGGGTTAACCCGAGTTAGGTCGGGTTAGTCCAATGGTTTAGGTTGATTTGGGTTAACCCAAGTTAGGCCAGGTTAGCGGCAAACCCCACACCAAAAATAGTGCCGACATTGGGTTAGCGCCCGGTCGATGTGGGTTAACTCGTGTTTGTTTGGGTTAGCCTGGTAGTTTAAGTTGATGCTAGGTTTAAGTTAGGTTAGACCTAGGGAGTTTGGGTTGTGCTGGGTCCAGTTGGGTTAGACTTAGTAGGTCCTTATTATGTTAGCTCTAATTTGGCTTAGACCTAAAGGGGTTGATGTTGTGTTAGGTCTAGGTTGGGTTAGACTTAGGAGGGTTTAGGTTGAACTAGGGCTAAGTTAAATTAGACCTAGCAGAGTTCATGTTAGGTTAGGTCTAATTTAGATTAGACCTATAGGGGTTGATGTTGTGCTAGGTCTAGGTTGGGTTAGACCTAGAGGTTGAATTATGTCTAAGTTAGGTTAGACCTAGTAGGCTTCTTGTTAGGTCAGGTCTAATTTGGGTTAGACCTATAGGGGTTGATGTTGTGCTAGATTTAAGTTGGTTAGACATAGAGGGGTTTAGGTTGAACTGGGCTATGTTAGGTTAGATCTAGTAAGTGGTCTTCTTAGGTCTAAGTTAGGTTAGACCTAGGGCTGAATCTTGACTTGACTTAGACCAAGTTAGATCTAGTTGGGAGTCAGATCTAACCTGTATTAGATTGGGTTCAATTG